TAAATCCTAGATAGTTAATTGCTCTCGAGATAATTAGTAACGACTATCTGCCGATGGATTCTTTCGACAGTCTGTCCATTATAAAATACACCTAATTATTAACGCGTTATACTCAACAAGTAATTATCTTAATTTGCTACTCAGATAATCGATTATCCTTCGCTGATATTAATATAGGGATTGGTGATTCTATCTATATCGAATAATCAAGGAAATACGTAAAACAGTTTATGATCAGAGCAATTGCGATACTTGTTTATTGATAAGATAATAAAGGAATCGGAAAATAATAATAATAATTGAACCGTAAGACACTTAAAAACTCACCGAAACTAGCTGACTCCTGTGCTTGCTTTCATATCTTCTGAGCTACTAATCGTCCTATTTTTAGCAACGTTATTCTACGCTACGGTTATTGGTTGTTTCTTTTATCACTAAGTAATCGCCTCTGTACTTCCAGACTGTTTTTCTAACAGCATATTTAAAATTTAACTTGTACATTGGGATCTAGGCTGTGCCACACATGCTGATCGGAATCTTTGTGTTACCATCAGAGTTGCGCGTCATTACCTCTCTGAACTATATTTCTGCGCTGCGTCTTCGAATTCAGTCATACGTCCAGCACCCATGTAAGTGGTGTAAAATAGCTGGCATGCAGTTAGCAGCTCAAATGGTAATCTTCAGCTCCTTCGTTGATGGTGTAGGTGATTACTGCCCAATCTCTTTTACTAGAAGTACTACTACAATTTAGATCTATTAATTCGCCTAAGGGATATGCCAGCTAGCCGGAATTTCTCATATACATGACACTTTTCTAACAACTCATTACTATTGCTACTTTCACTCATTCCTCTCAACTCTCTCTTTTCTCCCTCTGTATTACTATAGATCTCTCTCCTAAACAACTCATCTCCTTTGAAACTCACTTCAGGTATTGTATCCATCCTCACCTGGAATACTATTGACTGGGGAGGACATTTGTTCCTCTTGTGTATCTGATTCCGGGAATAAATCTCATGCCCAGCACATTGGTCTGCCAGGTTCTTCTGCTATGAGCAATTTGGATCTCTCCACTGCATTCTACCATTTGTTATACATCTTCTATTACTATTAACTCCACTTCTGTCAGTATTACTAGACATTTGTAATCAGTAATTGGGCTCTTCTCCTGGATTTTTGCTGCTACTACCACTGCTGCTCCCACTTGACTCTCATCTAACTTGTGGCTCACACAGTGATGCCTTGAGTAGGTATTAATGGTGTTTCAGTAAGCAAGGTTTGTTCTGACCAGAGTGACAAACTCTAGTCCCATGATCCATCTAGCAATTCCCATGATCAGTCTCTCCTTCTGACTGGATAATTGTATTTCTGTTCCAGATGGATTGTAGTTCAATAAGGCTATATCTAGCAATGACTCCTCCTCTCCTCTTGCTGTAAATGGTATACACTGTATTCTGTGTATACCCCATGTCTGAAATTGTCAGTATCAAGGAAAGGGATAAAGGTTATGAGGTCATGTTGAGGTAAGTCTGGTCAGGTGGCATAGTATTCCATGTTTGCTGAAATGCTTCTTCCAACCCATTTTTCAAAGTTTCTTGATTTCCAGTCCTCCACTTGTTGTTGATAAAGGATGCATTTGACTCATCTATTGTCCTTTTTTTTGATGACATAATAATAGTCATGGTTGTAGGCAGCAGTTGAGAATAGGGAAAAGATCTTTCCCAAGTCTTTATGGTGTCTAAAGTTGATGTATGCTCCATCAAAATTAAAGAGGCTTCAGTTGTATGGTGATAAAAATGTCCATTCCACTTCGGACAGCTCTGGATACTTGTTGTTCATATTAATGTAAGGTTAGTTGATTAAGTTGTATGTTTAAGATTGCAAAAGTTGTTTTGTTGTTTGATATATTACTTAGCACTTGTCCTTGCTATGCTATCAGTTGAAGTATGGAAATTGGATAAGGTCATGCACTGCTTATGTAGCTTCAAACATCCCTTCTGCTACACATGCTTGCATCCAATATTACTCCTAAATGAAGGATTGTTCCATCAGGTATGATGTCTTTGTAACCATAAAGTTATTAACAAACTAAATTCACTTTGCAGATGATAATAAAAATAATAACATTACTTCTTGATTGCCCTGATAAGATAAAAGACGTCTTAACCCGTGGATTTCGCAAGGTTGGACACGGTTATTTTTACGATTTTCTACAAACTGTGGACATTCACTAACTGTCTCATAAACAGGGCCGAATTACTGTAAAGAACAGATCTCAATTTGGCGTAGAAAATACCTGGCCGAGTCTGTGGTACAGCGGTTTGTGTTCCGAGCCAGTTTGGCATCAGTTGCACTCGACGTAAGCCATCAAGCGTTGTTGAGCTTTTGCTGTAAACTTAATTTTAATATTAGTACTGCTTGCAGTTTCGTCGCTTCTTGTTATTAAGTATGCATATTGTTATCCGTTGTAACGATAACAACTGCTATCATATGTATTATTGCAATTATTACATATTTGCATACCACTGTTTAATAACTTTACTTTTATCATTATAAATAGGCGTACCCATAGACATCAAATTTCAGAAATCAATCCGTTAAATCCCACTTGTGAAAAGCGGAAAAATAGGGAAATCCAGAAACGCCCCGCTATGATGTTCGGCCGATCAAATTGTGCTCGTTGACGCATATTGTTATATCTATGGAAGGGCTGGTCCACTGTAGACCGCACTTCATAAACAACGAAATTCTCCTCGGAGTTGCAAAACAACGTAAATACACTGACTGCATAATTGGCCATGGAGTTAACTAACTATTAAGCTAACTAAATTGGCTTTGTTTTAGACTTCTTAAATAGGGCTATTAAAAACCAAGACAAATACAACACTACAACTCTTAGTCCTCAAACACTAGGATTGAAAAGCGTCTTTGAGGAAAACGGAATATTGAAATTAAAGAAGCACTCATTTGGAAATACAATACATCGTTGAAACCTTTACCGAATCTACTGATCAAATACGCTCTAGGTTTGAAGGAACAATGCCTATAATAAATTTATTAATAAGAAGGCATAAAAGATTCGATTATGCATGCATTTAAACCAGCTATGCCCTAAAAAAGTAAGTCTTTTGTCTGTTGCTATTTTTCCAACCCCAGAATTGACACGTTTTTGTTTTTTAGGAGTCATGAGACTTATAAATATATAAGCATGCATACAGAGATATAGATCATCTAGCAGCCCGAATTAATGCCTGAGATGTAACGACTTTATTTTCTTACTATAACTATATGAGAAGTGGTGCCATTCGAATTTTGGGGCACAAAACATAATTTCGAAAATATCTTGAATTGTAAGCGTAACATTAGTTTGTGCAATATAATCATATTCACACAGGATAAACATTCATAATATTGTTCAAAGTAAGACTACAGTAGTGCATTGGGTTTACGAAAGAAATGAAAAATATAATTAACAGGCAATTATTACCTAGTAATGTTGTTGGATCAACAGCATATATACAATCGGGGGTGAGTAAGGTAGTCATATCAACATTAATTATATGCTTGGTGCAACTGTTAACTATTAATTCTCAGGCATACACGATTTAAAAAATACTCTTGCAAGGCTGGATATTTAACTTTATACATCAAATTATTCGCGTAAGTTGATACTTGGTTTTATGTCGGTTGATATTTGGTTGTTCCTGCTCTAACTGGATTAGATATTTAACTTTGCCACTACAGACTAATTTCCATGTAACAAAAGATTCTCGCTTTCAAACAACACTGTTTTTCCAACATGACACCTGGTTTGTCATGTTGGACAAGTGGATAGATGCTCTGCCTATTTCTCATTTTCAAGAGATTGTAAGTAATGGATTAGTAATTACTATTATAGTTTTACAATCAATTGCTAATATGTTACTTTTATTACCTTGGTAGCAGACGAAAACATTGGCAGGTGTCAAAAGACACAGTGCAAATTATTATTATGGTTGTCATGCTTGCTCTGTACACAAAGATCAATTAACAGACAGCCACTTTGACTATTTGGGGCCTAATGCATGCTTCAGTCATTTAACTGATAACCAATATGCAGAACTGCCAGGAATGATATGCTACTGAATATGGAATAAGTTTAGTTCATAATCAGGAATTTATCTAACAGGTCATACAAATTCGAATATTGTGGGTTTATTATTAGAATGAAATATTGGATAGTAGACCCTCCCTGTTTTAATTCTGTTGTGTTCAACTCTCTATAATCTTCATTATATAGACACACATACCCACCCATTATATACATATTTGATTATTTATACATTCTTTATTGTACTTTTGTAGATAATGTTAATACTAGCTCTAGCATGCAAATATCTTAAATGGTTTTATTATTCAAATTGTCAATATCAATATTAGTGTGATGCGTCGAATCAGTGACGCATTTTCTCCTCTATTTCTGCATTCCTCCGACGATGCCGCAGCAACATTTCAATCGGCAGTTACACCAGCGCAGCTGCGGAAATCGGTAACAGTGGTACGAACAATTCAGGGTGCAGTGGTACGAGAATTTCTACTAATGTGGTACAGCACCACTGCAGCAGAGTGACAAAGTGATGGCGAAAAAAAATGTGTGCCACGTGATAATCGAGGCAGCCGATGCTACTCTCGGGTAGGGATCTGCTCCCCTGACAGCAGATCACAACAACAAA